CCCTTCCAACCCACACCATTCTACAATTCTATTGCCTTGGTAATCTGTGAGCTCAGCCGTCTAGCAGACACCAGTCTAGTCATGGTTTTCCCTTCTATCACCCCTTTTGTGGAACAGTGTGTGTGGAAGAAATGTATTTTTTTTTTTTTTTAAAAAAAACCCTCTTTTTTGCCTAATAGAAAAAGGAGAGTGAATGTTTACAGTTGAAGATCCTGGTGCTACGTAATGAACTGGAGAGGCAGAAGAAGGCCCTTGGTCAAGAAGTAGCCTTGTTGCATAAGCAAAAAAGTACTTTGCATGATAGAGGTAAGTGTAAAAATGTTACTGCTTTGATTCAGATATTCATAATCCACGGGTCAGAAGAGTCTTATCAAAATGAAGGTGCTGGTTTGGGGTTTTTTTTGGGGGGGATGGGGAGGGGAATAGGGGGCATGCTCCGATGTGCTTGTGTTTCTCTTCATCTGAAGTGTGCAGCCAGGTATAATCTCTTCAGCATCTGTGTTGTACTGAATTCTGGACAGCAGTTTCTGGTATCCTGTCACTAAATAATTTCTTAATATGATACTGCTCTAAAACGATATTAAATCTGTGCTTAATTAAAAGTGTATGAGAAAATCAGAAGAGCTGTTTTGTAATGCAGTAAATAGGGGGTTGATGCTGCCACATTATAATGTCATGAGGGATGTTGTCCTGCCTGTGATTAGAATCTCGCTTTGTTAGAAGACAAAAATACCTCGTAATAGCTTTTTACATAAGTGAAAGGGGAAATGTCAAGTATTCATGGTATTTTGTGTTGCTGGGAAGGGGTCATATAGTAAAACCTGTGTCGCTGTCTCTTTGGACTTCGCCAGGGACCAACCTACATGGATGTTTGGTCTTGTTGCAGGACTGCTTTTTATGCGTAAAATCTAGTTGAGTCTAAAATAGCCACTACTAAAAATAAGGTTTTTGCCATTTACTTGATTTCTGGCTATGCAAGTATTGGGGTACCTTAACTGAATTACTCCACTGCTGCAGACATGAGGGGGCAGGTGTTAAAGGAGAAAGAGGTTTCATTGGGTGAATTCAGCTGGTGAATGGTGTATGGTGTATGAAGACTTCTGTTCCTTCAGCACTGTTGTTCCCCACTTTGGCAGCAAAACATGGAAAATGGATATCTAAGAGTAAATGAAGGATTATTGCAAACATTTATGTCAATATCTACTTCTATAACTTCAGATAATTAAGAAAATACTTGGTACTCTTTCTCCTGATTCCTCATGTTGTTTAGGAAATGCATTTGAGGCTGAATACCAGAAACTTCAAGAACATAACGAATCCTTGCATGAATTAAGAAAGGAATGCACTGCTAAGAGGTAAGAGGACCTATGCTTTTTCTGCATTTGGGAAGGAAATACAGACTTGAGGGCAGGACATTTGAAGTGGGACTCGAGATAACTACAGAAGACAAAGCTAACTTTAAGTTATCTTTGTGGAATTGCCTGTTTTTTGGGGGGAGGCAAGGTGATACTTGGGAAGATGCAGAAGGGCTTGATACCTTAACTTAAATCTTTTGAAGAAACTAATGGTTTTGGGATCTCTCTCCCCAAAGAGAACTGTTTCTGAAGACAAATGCCCAGCAGACTATTCGATGCAAGCAATTGCTGTCAGAGCTATCCTATATCTACCCTATTGATCTGGTACGTTTTTAACATTCTCAACATCTGCTTGATGTGAAATGAACTTCCTATTTATTGCACTTTGAGCAAATACTGCGTTTTATTTGTGATGAGACTTGCTCTTCACTCATGCTGATTTTTTCCAGCTTTTTGTTGGATTTGGTCCTTAGATTGTAAACTTTGTGGGGAGAGGACTTTATGCCAGCATCTCTCAAATAATCTCTGCTATAAAAGTAGAATAGCTGTAGCTCTTCCTTAATGGATTCTCCCATTTTGTTTATGATTATATCAAGTAACCCTGAAGTAGGCTAGCTGAACATTAGCACAGTGCACATAAACCGATGTCAAAGTATTGAGCTCCAAAACATTTTATTTAATGAATTAAAAGGAATCTCTTCCCTCTTTAAAAAGGTTGCAGATATTTCTAAATTATATGAAGTGTGGACTTCAACACTATTTCAAAGTCAGTCTGAGTTTCATTGAATATTCAGTGGAAGGTGTCCCTGCCCATGGCAGGGGGGTTGGAACTAGATGATCTTTAAGGTCACGTCCAACCCAAACCATTCCATGATGCTGTGATTTTTCTTTGCAAAAACGCTTTGTTGTCATTGGATTTTGTGCAGGTTTCTGTTTACTGGATGATATTGTTCCATTCTCACTTTCCATTCTTGATTTTTTAACTTACAGAATGATCAAAAGGATTACTTTGTTTGTGGAGTCAAGCTTCCTAATTCTGAAGACTTTCAAGGTAGCTGGATATTCTTAATTTAGTTGTTACAGTTGACGCTGCTTCTAAACTTCATAAAATCAAGTGGACTGATAGTAATGGCTTAGGATCCAATTTTCTGACTGGAAAGGTCCAGACCAGAGGAAAGCTTATACATTGTTTATTCCTATTTCCTAGTTAGTACAAAGGAAGTTACTGTTGACTCTTAGAAAAGTACCTCTGTATTCTAAAAAGCAGTACTGAAACGCTGCAGCAGGTTACCCAGAGAAGCTGTGGAGTCTCTGTCCCTGGGGGTGCTCAAAACACAGCTGAACACAGCCTTGGGCAACTTGCTGTAGCTGACCCTGCTCTGAGCAGGGCACTGGGACTACACAGTTTCCAGAGGTGCCTTCCAAACACAGTGATTCTGGAAAATATTTGTGTTCTCACCTAAAATTCCGTGGTGGCTACTTTCAGCCCATAAATCTTGATGGGGCAATGTGCACAAATCCCCATTCAGTTTGCTGTAGTTTCCAGTGAACTTACCAATAAATATCTTGCATAAATAAGAATTTAAAGCTGCCTCATAGTATAGAAGTATTTTACAAGTCAGCCTCTACCTTACCTGTCTACAGTCATCGTATTGCAGAAGCGTGTATTCATCTCCCAATGTTTGGCATCAACTGGAACTTCTTTAAGATCCTCTTGAGAATCTCTCACTCCCCAGTACTTAAGGCATGTGGTTTCTTGGGTAGAACCCTCAGTCAGCAGCATAACTCTTTAAAGCCATCCCATAGTTAGTAACGTGTGCTAACGATGTGTGTATTGGATGCTAGAATAATGGAAGAAGAATATGGAAAACAAATTGTCAGTATGACAAAAAGCAGACTATTGCTCTGTTTTCCTGATTGCACTAAATGTGGTAATGAACTCGGTTTGGTAATTCTGCAGAAATTGGTGGATTGCATCTTTTGGCCCATTTTCAGTTTACTGGCATTAAATCCTCACGTAAAAATTATTAAGTCTTTATCAAAGAATATCAGAAAAATTGTATTACTATGAAGAATTACTAAGCATTCAAATTTAGTGAAATATGAGTTAAATTTGAAAAAACAGCTCGGACATGCATCTTATTTCAGACTCTTAGTAGTTAATAATATTTAACAAAAAATCAGGCATCTGAAGGATCACAAAACTTGTATTCCCTAAAAAGCCAGTTTTGCTGCAAATGTTGACCGCTTTTTACAAAACCCTTTTTGAAAGGGGTCTAAAATGTTGTGTTCTAATAGAGCTCGGTATGATTTCATAGTTGTCGTTGAACATCATGATAAGCTTCCTTAGAACATCCTCTGTTTAGTTATTTCCTGGGACTCCCTAGTGCCTCAGAAGGGATGACTCTGTCATCTCCTTTGTATTGGTGTGTTCACTTACGAAGAAGAAAAATAGAGCAAGACAGAAAGGAAAAGCCCTTACATGGCTGAAGAATGTAATTTGACTCACAAGACAGGCAGGTGAAGCTTTAAGGTTGAAACCTTAAATGTCAAATTGAAAATGGTACTTTAAAACAACGGGTTAATCTGAGTTCTTCCAGTTATTGGCAGAGAACAGAGTTCATACCCTGGGGTCAGTGTCTCTCTGCTAATGAGTAAAGTTATGGAGGAATGCAGCTTTTCCCTGACCCCGGTCATACGTGTCAGCTACATCTAGAGAAATGAAGAAAGTTTAAGACTCGAATTTTGTCTTGGGAATTTTGTTTCACTTTTCCCCTTTTTCTTTTTTTTCTTTTTACCCTCCCCCACCCAGCCACATGTTGAGAAGAGTAACTTTTAGCTTTGAAAATGTAAAATTGGAAGGAGAACAAACCATCGTGCACTCTGCATTACCCTTTCACAAAAGAACTGTGAACTGCAAGCAGTTGTAAAGCAGCTTAAATTTGTTCCAGACCTGCACCTCTTCTTACGTTCTAACTTCTGATAGCTTCGTTAATTATATAATTCTGAGTAAGGAGGATGAGCTTGTGCTGAGCCTGCTATGAGATGCAGTTGATGAAATAATGGAATCTTTTTGTTACAGCAAAAGATGATGGAAGCATTGCTGTTGCCCTGGGCTACACGGCTCACTTGGTTTCAATGATATCCTACTTCTTACAAGTGCCACTCAGGTATCCCATAATTCACAAGGGCTCCCGGTCTACGATCAAAGATAATATCAACGACAAGCTAACGGAGAAAGAGCGAGAGTAAGTATGTTGTAAATATGCTTATGTACTTTCTTCACAACAACGGAAAAAAATGGAACAGTTTCGGGTAGTCTCAAGTGGGCACAGAGTTTGAAGTTATTACTGGTTTCAGTGGCCACTGTTTGAGTTTCTCCTGTTGGAATTCTGTGATCTAACAGAGTAATGACTCCAGTTTTGTCATTCTGGGTCTGTTGACAGGCATATAGCATTGGTTAGGCACCTAATAATGATAGAAAAAAAATTAAATAGTGTCTTATAGGTAAGTTTTGGCTGCTGATTTGGATAATCTGCCTTCGTATTTTGCTACTGGCTGTGACAATAAACTGGATATCAAGTGTAGCCTTGCTGAGAAGTTACTGCCAGTAGTGGAATTGATAAACGTGAGAAAATAAATAGCTTGCTTTAATGCAGAGGATTTTAACCAATTGAAAGAGAGCACTGTAAGCTGTTATCTAGTATAAATCAATTGAATATTCAATGAAGAGGTTTTCATCTGGTCTGTAATCATTGTCATTCAATATGCAGCTACACTGTTGTTGTTATTGTGCTACTAAAAGCTATTTTGCTGTCCTTAAATCCACTTTCCGAATGCCTTCCCCTGCGTTTTGCCTATTTTCCCCCACTGTCTTTGCACCTGTGTGTTCTAATATGAAAATAGTGGCAATTATTGGTTAAGCTTCACTTTGTAGCCTGCAGCCACAGCACTCAAAAGAATGCAGCACTGACCAGCTGTGAGAGGCCAGCTGCTCCGCTCTGATCCCGTGCATGTATGGATGGCCATAAGCTTTGGTTTTCCATATGCAGGGTTTGAAAAGGGAGCAAAGGAAATGACTGAGGAGAAATGAATCTGTGGAAAGTAGCTGTCTGTCTTGACACAAAACCTGTCAGTAAACCTCTTTTCTTTGGACTTAAGGTATCAAAGAATTAGCTAAATATAAATTCTTTGAATATTTTAACACTAATTCCTAAGAGTCCAAATCAGGATGGAAGCGTCTTATTGTGCATACTTGAGGACTGGGATGCTTGGAAGTGTCTGGTTTCTTTCTGAAGCTCAGTGGTTTTTGCCAGGACAGCAGAGGTAACTTGCCTTAAGAGTTAAACTCACTGAGGTCTTCCTGTTTTGACACAATGAAATATGACTAGAGTAGTTATTCCCTGCAAATTAATTTTGATACTGTTTTAATAGCTTGTCCAAATACTTCCTGGGTAACTTAATAGATCATTAATCTGGTTTAGTTCTCTAAGCATATGATCATACTCCTTCCTGTACATCACTTTCAGAAGGGTAGCAAACTAGAAATTTATATCTGGAAAACAAATTTCTGAGGAGTAGAACTGCCTGTGTGTGGGTGTGTGAAGATTAAACCAATTTCCTGTTGTCTGAGACAGATTGGAAGGTTTAGTCCTCCAGGCCATGGCCTTCCAAACCCTCATGACTTGATACTTTATTTCACAATAGATTTCTGTAAAGGATAAAGTTTAGCTAAGTATATGAATCCCCGTTGGGCCATTTACCTGTGTTCTGCAAGGTTTTTTTAGGATTAGCTCCTGCCTGAGGTCTTCTCTTCCCAGCTATTGGAGAGTCAATCCTGCCAATTCTCTGAGGAATTTGGTTGCTATAGAAAACCTCAAATGTCTTAACTTGCAGTTTTCTTTCTCAGCTAATAGCTCGTGTTTCTCACCTGCTCCTAACTGAATTTAACATAGAAATTAACATGCATTACCACATTTCTTTATTTAGATGACCTGTCCTTTAGCAGCTTTTCAAACTCCAATATAAACTGTTGAGCAATTACAGTGAGGTTTTCTCTCTACTCAATCTTTATTATAGCACAGAACATCATGGTTATTGACTAGGTTAAACATTTTGCTTGGCTTTGTATTTTTTTTTCTTGGTCTGCAGGGATTGCCCTGAGATACATATTAAGAGCTTCTAAAAAATGTGCACTGGGGGAATAGCTCATGTTTTCACCGGAAAGCAATTTCATAAGTACACGTGTTTGTTTTTAATGTGATACTGTATAAATGTGTTACTTCACTTTCAAGTTCCTTTACCAGCTTTTTAAAGCCCTTATAATAAGCTGGTTAAATATTTTGAGAGCTTTCAGAATGTAAGTTACGTTTGGGAAATACTTTATCCCCTTCAGATTTGTTTACTTGGACAATCCAGGTCACTATATCTCAAGGTGCTTGTAGGAGTGTTCAGTTTGATCTGTTGTAGTTACTGTTATGTTGGAACTTGAGTGTACTGAAGGAGGAGGAGGATGTGGTGAGAACTTGGCTCATGTGTCTGGCCACATTACTGAAGGTAGGAGGAGATAAAGCTTATAAATGCTTATAAATATCTAAAGGGCAGCTGTCAAGAGGATGGGTCTAGGCTCTTCTCAGTGGTGCCCAGTGACAGGATGAGGGGCAGTGGCCATAAACTAGGAAGCAGAAGGTTCAACCTGACCATGAGGAAACCCTTCTTCCCTGTGAGGGTGACAGAGCACTGAACAGGCTGCCCATGGAGGTGGTGGAGTCTCCTTCCCTGGAGACCTTCCAAAGCCGCCTGGATCTGTTCCTGTGTGATCTACTCTAGGGGATCCTGCTGTGGCAGGGAGATTGGACTAGATGATCTCCGGAGGTCCCTTCCAACCCTGACCATTCTGTGAGATACACAATACCCACCAGTGGCATACAGTATAGGGTCAACTTTGTAATTGTAGAGGTGATAGTGTTTATAAATCTATTCAGTAACTGTTCCCTTCTTGTATTCCGCAAAATCGTTTTGGTACTACTAAAAGGCTGCAAGTTTTCTCCCATAAATCTGCTTTTGTGACATTCTGAATTGGAAAGCTAAGGCAAGAATGTAATTCTCACTGAATACCTCATTAAGGCACTTCGGTGGTCCGTTTCAGCATCTCCAGAGTGCATCAAATATGTAGGAAGAGTACCATTCCTCAGAAGTTCCAGAGTCTGGAAGATTTCAGAGCAAATTATAGATAGAGAACTCTGAAATTTAAGCTACTCAGGTCAACAGCATGTTCCCCTCTGCAGTGACAAACATGCTTGCTGAATAAACCACCTAAATTCCTTGGCACTGTTCTTGGGGAACTGAAACAGCACTTCATCACTTCCTCGTAAACATAGTAAGAATGCAGAGATTAAACTATTTACGATAAATTCTGACACTGTCTGTCAAGCCCTGCGTTTAATGCTTCTGTTAGTCTGCTCCCAGATTTTTAAATGAGGAACAGCTTCCAGTTTAGGGCAAACTAAGCAGTGTTATGTCTGGAGCGAGACAGACTGTGAAGTTGCCTGTGTTGGTGTTTCTGCTGTCATTGTAGTATCTATTTTCTATGGTTTTGCGTTCTGTTCTTTTAATGCCAATGCAAGCTAAACATCTCAAAGTAAATGCCTGCAATTTGCTGGCTGGAAGATAGGGAATCTTTTGAAACTGTATTGTCAGTCTCCTCGTTAGTGTTAAAGCAAGTACAGTAAAGCACACTTAGGCAGTCTGCTTGGGTGTCTTGGCATCTCTGTTGTCTCAAAGCTGTGCTTGGTTGCTACTTTCTGTAACTGAAACTTCACACGGCACTTCCCCAACCTGCCAGTTGAATATTTAAGAATAAAATACTTATTTAATCAAATCACATTAGACAGCTTGGAAGTAGGTATATTCCCCTGTGCAAAATCACGTTCTTTGGAGTTTACTCACCTTCCTGGTACCCTGGCTTGTCTGGGCAAGTGAAATTCACATTCAGAGAAATTATTTCTATTGTATTTTTGCATTCTTATTTGCACAGTGTCTTTTAAAAGGTTTTCAAGAACTCTTACTGTTCTGCTAGGTAATTTGGAAATTAGAATAGCTTCAAACAATAGTTCTGTGAACACTGTTTGACTGTAGAAATAAAGAGAAATCCTGTAGTATATGCAGTCTGTTCTGGCTCGTGCTACACCACTTTCCGACCAGAATGTGTTAAGGGTGAATTAGAAAACGAGCAGTACTGAGAAAGTAACCACCTCAAAGTCGTGTTACAGGTTACAGGAAAAAAATGAAGGGTGGAATACATGATCTAAAAAAGCTTTTGTATTTAAAAGGCAAAAAGAACACTCTAGTTTTCCAGCATAGCTACTGGAGCACATACAGGCATTGCAGAGTTGTCTATCTCAAAGAAGTGTTAGTTTTTCATGTTGTATGTTTAAATATTGAACTTGTTGCCACTTAATGCTATAAAGGTCAATGTATATAAAGTTTAAAAATAAAATTAAATAATAAAATACCCAACACTCAGACCTTAGACAGTCATGGAAGATGGGTGATCTAGTCTGGTGTATTCTTTGCAGGAATATTTGGCACTAACTGACCTAACAGTAAACTTCTGTAAAGCTTTCCTTGGCATTTTGTAGCTTATAGGAAGTTTTAAGGTCTTTTCCTCCACTCTGCTTGAGAAGTACATCCCCAGCAGGCTGAAGGATACACAGACAGCTGTGATGCAGTCTGACATCTGCATTCAAAGGCATCCGACCTCCTTGCAGTTAAGTTTAATGAGTTTGGTTTTTTTTTTGATGTACCTCAGGATCCAGAGAGTTGTGTGGAATGGCATAAGGAGTTGTGAAGTTGCGCATGCTGCCGTTTCCCTGTGGCTTAGGTATCAGGGACGTGTGAGGAATTGGACTAGACCACTTTGATTGCCAGAGCTCTGTCTTGGGACTGAAATCAAGCTTCAGAAGAACTAATATTGAAAATAATTTATTTTTTTCCCCTCTGGACAAATAGTTTTAGCTGCTTTAATTTCTATATAAAGTAATAGTATTGAGCAACAGTATAAGTTTTGAAATAAATCTGTGAAGCTATTTGCATTTTTCGTTCCTGAAGAAATCACTGCAGAGTGAGAGTGGGAATGGCATTAGTAGCAATGGTAGGTCATTTCATGATTGGTTCCCTGACATGCCTAGTTGGAAAGACCTCTGTTCTACTTGGTTTTGTAACTAATGCTGCTACTTGTCCTGCCTGA